AGATAAGGCTCGTGAAAATCAACATTGTAAATGCATGAAGCCACATAAGCTATAAATCTCTTTGTTCCTTTGCAAACTAATTTCAAGTCTTTACAGTAAAAGAATATTTTTCAATAAGTTGAACAAAACATTACAGATCAACACAACTATATAACTCATCAAATCGATTGGCGTACAATCAATCAAGTACGAAGAACCCAGAGGATCTATCCTAGGACCGCTTCTATTTTTGTGCTATATAAAACGGTTACCTAGTTTAATTTCAAGAACAGATAGCAAAGTATGTCTGTATGCAGACGATCCAATCCTTTTAGTGACAGGTAAAACTCTCAAAGCTGTACAAAATTTTTACTCTCAGTCTATGAACAAGGTTAAAAGCTTTAACAGAAAAAATTTACTTTTGTATGAAAATTAAAGTAGTTACATTTCTTGTTGTGCAAATAAAAATAAAAGTAATGAGACAATATTGAAAAATAATTCTAAAATTAATAAAGTAAATGATTTAACATTTTCAGGAATCATTATTGATAATAATTAAAGTTGGGACTCTCATGTCCAACATGTTGTAGGCAAAATTTTATCAGGCTTGTACGCTCTTCGATGTATGTCCCAAGTCTGTGATCTTTCGGCTCTAAAACTAGTTTATTATGCATTTGTACATTCTTTTATATCATACAGAATTAGTTTCTACGGAGGGACCTCAAAATCAAATCGTAATAAAATACTTCTGTTACAAAAGAAACCTATTAGATTAATGTTAAATTTAAATTAGATTGAAAGTGTAAAATATAATTTTTGTAACATGGAAATCCCAACAGTTTTTGGTATTTACATTTATATGAGACAGTAAAATATACAAAGCAGTTCATTCACCTATCAGAAATAAATATAAGCTAATACCAGAAATGCACAATATGTTACAAAAAACAGACATAATTTAGAATTTTATAGAACTGTATAGAGGCCTAAGATATATCATTCTTTTACCAAAAGATATAAAAAATGAATGTAATAGCAGGAAATTTTACTGTACACTAAAGAAATTCTTAGTACACAAAGCATTTTACTCCTTTGAGGAATTTTCCAATTTAAAATATTGTGAACAGACTACAAGTTACATTTCTCACTGACTCTATTCCTTGTACTTGCGCATTTATGAATAAAGGAGATTTTTATTTGATTTGTACTGAAGAATAATCATCCGAAACAGTTAGTGTTACAAATGACAAAATTTACAGAAATAGTTTATCTACTTTCAATAATAATCAGATTTAAAAAAACAATGTTGAGTAAAAAAAGTAATTTAAGGTAAAAGTAGTTTTCATTTTTAAATGGGCTAAGTTACTTGGCTTTGCAACATACAGGGTGATTGATATAAGTGTGCCAGCCGTTTTATTCGAAAACCATAAGAGATATAAAAAAAAAGTTAAATGGTAAGTGCCTTGTATTTTTCATTTAAAAAATTATAGTCAAGCCAAAAAAATTATTTTAGCCTCCATTTTTCCAATATGGCCGCCAACTCTGATTTTTCTTATGGAACACCCTGTATTTCATGATGTATTTTGGTAGAAAATGTAATTTTAAGACGATTTTATTCTTGTAATTTTTTTTTCATAAACCTAACTGTTTCAAAGATAATAATGGTTTAAGTTGTGAAATTTTGAATGGTTTTAAAATAAAACAGCTGGAATGCTTGCTTAGGCCTTTATCGAAACTCTTTCTAATGCAGAAATTTCAAAACTTTAACCATTATTATCTTTGAAACGGTTAGGTTTATGAAAAAAATTACAAGAATAAAATCGTCTTAAAATTACATTTTCTACCAAAATACATCATGAAATACAGGGTGTTCCATAAGAAAAATCAAAGTTGGCGGCCATATTGGAAAAATGGCGGCTAAAATAATTTTTTTGACTTAACTACCATTTTTTAAATAAAAAATCCAAGGCACTTACCATTTAACTTTTTTTGATATCTCTTATAGTTTTCGAATAAAACGGCTGGCACACTTAATATCAATCACCCTGTATATAAAATACTAGAAAAAAAAAACAACCAGGTAAATTCAGACATGCACATTTTGAAATTCATTTTTAAAGATAAACACGTTTTAAATTTCCCAAAAATTATATCTTTGGCTAAAAATGTATTAAATAGGATTATGAATTGTCTAATACAATTCAATATAGGTACATCTAAATGTTAAGTTATTTTAAGTAGTAACTGGCAAATAAAATTTTTAGATTTTAACGTGAAGTGATAACAGTTTAAATTATTAAGTCAGTATCCCAAACTTCTGGCACATCTTTGGTAATGGAAGTCAGTAATTACAAGCACATGTCAAGTTTGTTTTGCTTGTCAAATTATTCCCAGAAGGATTCGTCATTTTCTCGCTACAGACACCGAGTCAGCGACTGCGGAGGAAGAGAATCTCAGATGTCAGCTTTATCAGCATTGGCTGTGGATTATATTACTTGATTTGTCAGAAACCAAACACCACTTCTTTTATGTTATGCACCAAATCACCAATTTGGCTTTGACAAATGCATGGAGAAATTTTGATATGTTTGCATTTTGTAGGATTTTTTTTTACCACCGGTTGTAAGTTAAGATGGTTTTGCAACTGTATACCTTTTAGAAAATGGTTACAAAAATCAGAGCAGTATTTTTCTGATCAGATCACAGAAAATAGTATACTTGTATATTCAAAATTAATCATAAATTTGCCTCTTGAACTGTGATATTTTTTACATTAGACTTTTTTGCAGGGATTAACATGGAGGATAAATCAATTGTTGTAGTTTGCTTGTTTATAGATTATCTTTTCATCAGAATTGGCATATTTTTAAATTTCATACCAAGCTATATTTTAATACATAACTCAATTTATTACCTTCACTGTAACAGCTAATCTAGGTGTTATATATATATAAATAGGGAATAAATCTGACAATTTCAATGAACTAATTTTGTGAAAATTTAACTGGATTCTTGTATGTTCATTACTTTTAACAACTTTAACCTACAAGCAAATCTACACGACACGCTCTTTCCAATGAGACGTCAATGGATAAAATCAGTGTAGAAATGGCGGAGGAGTTCAACCGACAAAGTTTCATGTGTAACGTATTAATTATATACATTGTATTACAACAATTTTTGTGGTTTTTGTGTGTAGCAGTTTTTGCCTCACCATAATTAGTCACACCTTAAATTTCCAGATAATTTTGCCTACACTGAGATAGTCCAGGATTCTAATGAGTTTGTTCATTAATTATCGATTCAAGGTTATTGGCTCAGAATAATAATTACAACAATGATAACAACTATATTAGCTTACCTCCAGAAAGTGGTCATCACAGCCACCCGAAATACATGTTGAGGTCAAATTTGGGATATAATATCGCACAAATAAGAATTTAATAGAATAATTTTACTGAGCTTTAAATAAACAAGAATTATTTGTCATCCTTGGTTAACACCAAAGTGTTAATATTCCTAAAAATAACTTGGTCAATCACCATATAGAGTCCTTCGTAACTAACTATTGTTCGAATGCAAATAACTTTTTAGTGCTTGGTAACCACCAATGTCTCGTGTAAGATAGAATCCACGCTTTTTCTAGCACGCTGAATCCTGCATTGACCATGCGTGATCGACTAAAATATGAAATATTACTTATATACTAAACGTACCTTTTAATTTACTGAGAATTAAATAGAGCTTTAAAAGAGGTGCTCTAGACTTGCTAGCACTTGGATTGTTTTGTATTTTTAATATCGGCTATCGCTAGATATTGTTGTGTGTGAGTTTGTATAGTGAACGTTAGGTGGCTGAGGACTGACTGTTCGGGGCGCTTCTTGAGCGGTTCTCTTGTACCGCCCCTGGCGTCGAGGTTGAGAACTACAGTCATCCCCTCCACATGACGTCACCACGTCCAGCATTTGTTGCGGCTTTTGCGTGAACCAAATCAACTTATTTGGGATGACCGTGAAAATATTACCCGTTACTTATCCTTATTAAAATTAACAAGACTAGGGTCTATTAACATAATAGACAATATTGCTAGAATAATATTGCACAGTTTCCAAGTAAGTAGGCCTGTGTTCCATATGTTCGATAACCAAAATTTGGCCGTGATGGTGAAGGAAAAAGTCTAGAAAATTAAATTAAATGCAGGTAACTACCAGATGATCTGTGACTGGTAAAATTTTCTGGTAGCCACAGAAAAATATCATCTGGAGAAGCTTTTTGAACACAACTATCATCTGACAATGCTGGCTATACTATGCTTCAATCTTTTAACCCTTCGAGTGCTAGGCCAATAATTTGTATTTTTTAAGACTTTTTGCTTACCTTTTAATTCTATTAGGCTACCTGTTGTTGAATTGTAACTGTTTTGTTCTCACTATTTTATTAGCCAGGATAATTTGGAATAATAAGTCAATAAAAATATATATAGCAAAGAAAAGTCTTGGTACTTGCAGTAAAAAAAATTGTCTGTGAATAACTAGTGCTGCTACCTAGTAACACATTGAACAACTAGGTGTGGCGTTATCTGTTAGCAATTGTTGACGGCAGCTTACATACCGGTTTTTACCCCTCAGTCTCCAGTGGCATTCGTCTGCTTGGGATCGAATCCCATCCTGTGTGTGGCAAATAATTGGCGACCTGTGTTTGTAGCGATATACTACAACCACTGAGGCATAGTGAGGTGTTCATAATCCTTGGTTTAGACATACCTCTCGAATCATCGGATTGGGCTAATCTTTTAGCTAAGTGGTTGTTAGTGCATCCTATAAACATGCAGGTCACCGTTTTACTACTTTTTTTTAAGCTACTTTCTTTCTATTTTACTGAGATTCTCTCTATATACAGATTTTAATAAACAATGATATATTATTGCATAGCACTCAAAGGGTTAAGGAGAATGAACTGAAATAAACCACCATCTCGATTAGGCTTAATCTAAAGATAAGACAATGGAAACACCAACTAACCTGTCATACTCTGCGTTATCCTCATCACACCGTTCATCCTTCAACTCCTTCCAGCTCTTGCCATGCCTGCAGGTTGTAACCAGTACCACGTCTTGCTCATTGTGAAGGTGGTACAGTGAGTTGCGAGTCTCTGAACCAATCCCATGAACGTAGCGCTTCCCCTTGAATGCCAGCATATACTTCTTGCTGACAGGGAAGTTCATAGATGTTACATAGCCGGGATCTCCACCTCGCTCAGGGTGATTCTAAAACAAGAAAATAAAGGTAGGCTAATTAATATCAATAAATTATCTTATTCAAAAACTTCAAAGGTGTTATCAACATTATAAGGTAAATTGGTCCCAGGTTTTGGTCTTACCATGTCGCCTACTATAATACCGGGAAAACACTTAGGCCTATCATGTGATCCCTCATTTTAAAGGGTTTATCAAGAGAAATTGAATGGCGCAAACCAGAGGTCAATATCGCACCCCTAATCAAAATGGCAGCCATTTTAATTTAAGATGAGCAAGCAAGATAAACTCTGGACAACCCCAGTTAACTTAAAAAATGTAATAGGCTATTATAATAGGGATTATTTAAAATTTTGAAAAATTTAAATAATAAATTTAATATTATGAAAAATTTAAATAATGAATTTAATATTATGAAAAAGTTCAATATATTATGTTGTAAATATGTGCAGAGTTTGGTTTTCCTACTGCAACGCGTTAAAAAGTTAACTGGGGGGTTCCATATTTTTGCCTAACCCTGTATGTGTAGGCTAAATATATATATTAATTAGAACGGATGGTGTTTTTGGCCTCTAGGGCCCTCAAAACGAATAAGTAAATCGGTCCCAGGTCCAGGTCTTACCATGAGTACCTACTATGGTAATAGCTTATTCCTTATATGGGAAATTCGCTAAAAAGTAAAAAGAGTTTAAAAGCTAAAGCAGATGTTCAAAATCATAGTAGGCCTAATTTAGGCTACATGGTATGTACTATTATTGGTCAGAAAGGACGTTCTTTTAAATCTAGATTCAAGAGCACATTAAAAGCTCGTAAAAGTAACAACAGAACATCCATGAAATAAAACTTTGCTGAACATGTTTTATCAATTAGGCACAATTAAGTAACACAAATTTTAATAAACGGTATCAGCATTCTGACACATGGGCACATAGCACACATAGCAACGCTGGTGGCGCTGCCTACGGATTGACAGGCAAAGCTCTCTCAAACCGCTTAATGCTTTTTACCATGCGGTTGGCATTCTGGGTATAGTAGTACGTTTTCTGTGCACATGGGTCAATCCATATCAAGTGATCCAATAAAAAATAATTTGGTTGCTTGACCATTTACAATATTTTTTATTTTTTTATTTATTGTCCCCTCATGTTTTGGAAGCTCAAATGATATTATACAATTTTTATCCCTTCCCATTGTTTTGTAGCGGCCGTTTTTGTCTTGCAGCGCACGGTGATTTTTGAGTTTGCAAACGTTAACATAAACGAACATATCTTTTTACCTATTTATGTTACAAAAATGCAACCAAATTCACTTTGTTCAACATTTTCCCATCTTTAATTTTGATTATGATCATAATCAGCCTAATTTGTGCCCATATGGGTGAAAAAAATGTTTAAAAACTAGCAACGCAAACAAATAATTTTCACTTTTTGAAGCCTATTTTTCCCATGAAGGATTTGTAAATCAATCTAAATTTTTTTTACACAATTACATATACTAATGTACTCTATGTAGCTAGAGTTATTACCTACACTAATATGTGTCCTTTAATTTTGGCAGTTTAAAAAAAAAATATATTTTTCAATGTTCGCAAATTTTGGAGCTTAATATCTCTGATGGGACATGGGATAAAAATTTGATTTTTTCACAGGATGTTCTTCTGTATAAGAGGAAACTACAGTAGAAGTTTCATCATTGATATTTTATTGTGGTAAAAGTTATGAATTTTTCTAAACGGTAAGAAATCGCAGTGTTTAGTGTATTTTTACTCGTCTACGGGTTCTATGAGTACTGTATTTCTCACATTAAAAAGCAGGTAATTTATCTATTTTTAAAATTTTAAATAAATTTAAAATACTTAAAGACCTATAAGTTAACTATAGGCTATTAGTAGGCCTATTTAAAGATAATAAATATTTTTTGGGGCTTAGTTGCAATTAAATAATATTCTGGTTCTGAGAAAAGCAACCATTGCTAAAGAAATGGACAGTTAATGATGACAGCAGATAAGGATAGAAGATAGGACTCCAGACAACTAAAGACAACTGATAAAGAGCCCTATTATTGCTTTGATTCTGTTGTTTGTTTACTCTGCATGTCTGTACAGGAAACCTTATCTCAATAGGCTACCTATGTCAGTGCCATGATTCTTGATTCATAGCAGTATTGACGGGTTTTTTCTCAGACTACATATATTTGTATGTGTTTATATCATCGATGTATAATAACTCCCATCGATGTAGAGTTATTAAATACATCGATGGTTTATATTAATCTGTTTTTTAAGCATTTGAAATTAATCAATTTTGTTCCATTGGTAAAATGGTGGGTGAAGAATGCCACAAAACCCTTTATGATTTAGTTTCGAAAGATTTGAAGGAGTTGAAAGGTTTTAGTGCAACCATTGAGTATACACCAATGGGTGTATAGGCTACTCAATAGTGAACCCAGCAAGAGTTATTTAAAAATCCGGTTATCACTGTTAATGCCACCGTGGTGTGTGTGTACCATAAAAAGAAGTTTATTTTTAATCATTACCATATCTATGGTAAATACTGTCTGACCTATTAAAATCTCTCAAGAAACCTATAAATAAAGGTTTGATGGAGATCAAAATTGAATATCACAAATTAAAATAAAAAATAATCTAAATTTAGTTCCTTCAAAGTCACTTTGCCAAATTGCAAACAAAAATTTTTATTTAATAAATTTGCTAAATGTCAGGACGATTATGTTCCTCCGACTGAAGTTTTGGAACATGTAGATATTGCTCGCTCTGATTTTGGAGTCTCTCCTGCTTCCAAAATACGAAAACTGAGTGATGCCAAGAGACCAATTGCTTTAGATTCCAAAGTTAAAAAATATTCAAAACACCAAAAAAAAAAAGAATTTTATTTTGACAAGGGACCAATTACAGTCTTGCCCGAGCTTGTAGGTTTACAGTTAAACACATTAAATTATTGAAGCACAATTCAATTATGAATCTTTAAAGGCCTTTCAAAATTGATAACTTTTACCAAAGTACTACCTATTGATATAACTAATACTGAAAGTGGTACCGGTATTATACTTAACATTTATACGATTTTCAATTTTTAAAAACAAATAATATATCTCAAAACTTTGCTATAGGCCTATTTAAAATAATAGTTAAAGGTGTTAAGCATTATTTATCTTTTTAAAAGAGGTGAATTGTCTGCCCTTTGGAGCAATAAAGGCCAATCATTAACCAGTGGACAAGTCGCCACTACACTAAACACTACCCAAAAAAAAAATGATAAAAACGGTACCTATGCGATTTCTTACCGTTTAGAAAAATTCATAACTTTTACCACGTGCAGTAAAATATCAATGATGAAACTTTTACTGTAGTTTCCTCTTATACAGAAGAACATCCTATGAAAAAATCAAATTTTTATCCCATAGTCCCATCAGAGATATTAAGCTCCAAAATTTGTGAAAATTGAAAAATCTTTTTTTTTTCAAAAAACTGGCAAAATTAAAGGACACATATTAGTGTAGGTAGGCTAATAACTCTAGCTAGCCTACATAGAGTACACTAGTAGCTATATGTAATTGTGTAAAAAAAAATTTAGATTGATTTACAAATCCTTCATGGGAAAAATAGGCTTCAGAAAGTGAAATTTATTTGTTTGCGTTGCTCGTTTTTAAACATTTTTTTCACCCATATGGGAACAAATTAGGCTGATTATGATCATAATCAAAATTAAAGATGGGAAAATGTTGAACAAAGTGAATTTGGTTGCATTTTTGTAACATAAATAGGTAAAAAGATATGTTCGTTTACGTTAACGTCTGCAAAATCAAAAATCGCTGTGCGCTGCAAGACAAAAATGACCGGCTACAAAAAAAATGGGAAGGGATACAAATTGAATCAAATCGCTTTTGAGCTTCCAAAACACGAGGGAACAATAAATAAAAATATTTAAAAATGGTCAAGCAACTCATATTGGATCACTTGATATGGGTTGACCTACCTATTCACTCAGATGTTATAGAGGCCTAAAGTTGAATTAGGCTAGCCTATATGATTTTCTGATCCCTTTTACCCCTGTACACCTGCATAATTGAGCTGTCCACTCAGCAACAGAGTTCACCCAAACAGAGAGCCATAACTGACACCTTCAGTGTTGGCACTATGACTTAGGTACCTACCCTAATCGTTGCAATAACTTAGCCTCGGGGCATTTAACTTATCTTATCCAACATGCAAAATAAAAATTAAGCAAATTCACCTCAAGCTGAAAACAGTAGGCCTAACTTAATTTATGGAAATATATTTCAGGAACCAGGAAGCATATTTTTGGAAAACTTACCTTATGAAATAAAGGAATTGAAACATCAAATCCAGGCCGAAAACTTGTCACTGACATACTCGCTTTAGCCAAAATTGCTTCACCAGTGTCAAAGCCCAAATCATCTTCAGCGTAGTCCGGCCATGTCCCAGAGTACAGATTAAAAACAACATGATTTTTGCCGCCGTTCCATAGTTTTAACCTCTGTAACCGTGATGGAACATTCCTCACATAGTCAACTGACAAACTGTCCCTATCTAGTGTATCGATAGCGAGAACAAATAAACATGCTTGACTAGGATCAGAAGTGTAATATCGTGATTCTAAAATTACATCTAAAACCTTTTGATAGGCAGGACTCGGGGTTAAAGGAACTTCACCGCCATGAATATCATCACTTGTGGGATACACAAAAACTTTAAAGTCATTATTACACTTAGAGTAATCAAAACATGTCTCCATACGGCATTTTTGATTGATAATGCTATTGCTAACTTTTTTACGGTCATAAGAGTTACCACCTGTCCTTCTAACATGGGGTGATGGTTCTAGATCCCTAGTAAATAACTGATCACTCCAGGCATCAATGAATGCAGGCATGCCATTTTCCACTGTTTTTAAATTGTGTTCACTTTTCAATCTATATCCACCAAAATAACAATATGCAAGAAAAGCACATGACAATAAAACTAACAAATAACGTTTTTTGGCTTGCATGATAAAGTCTCACTAGGCCTAACTTAGCCTACTGCACTGAAGTTACAAACCTAACCTATACATTGTGCTAGGTGCTAGGTAGGCCTACTATTTTGTGAAATGATTAGCGTCTTTCGATTGACAGGAATGAGTTGTGTTCACCAAAAGTTTCTTTGAAAACTCTGAATGCTGTTGATGAGGACTTGCACAACTTATAATCCCCCATCTTTCCGAATCACAAGTCAAAAATGCCTTCATTGCTGGACTGTCAAAACACAGATCAAAACTTCACCTAAGAATCCGTGAATTATTAAAATTAAGGTTGTGCTGAATGGAAATCCCCATTATAATTCAACAAAGATATGAATCAATTAGCCCAAAAACTGCAAAATTCGGCTAATTTTCTGATGGAACGTTTAAAATTTTCAGTAAACATCGTGCACTGAATTTACTAGGGATGCATTGAAATGTTGATGTTTTATCATTCCCTCACTTCACTGACAACTGCGACACTTCACTACACAATCTCACCAAGAACAGACAGAAAGAAATTTGTTAATTTTTTAAATTTATACAATCGACTTGAGGATATAACAACCTCGAACTGAGATTAAGCCTATGCAGGCAAATAAATGATTGGAATAGTAAAGGGGACCAGACGACAATATCATATCCTGCCAGAGCCAGACGAAAGACGAAGCAATGAAGCAACTTATTATTGAACATTTTTACAGAATCCCGCTAGTGCGCGCTGCGATCGTCAACTCGAGTGGTGCTGCGATCTACTCAGCATTGAATGAAGTAAAGGCTTTGTTCTGTTGAGTTTGTTTTATCAGCTGGTCAAATTCTGTTATCACACTATTTTGCGCAGCATCCTCCCCCTCGATAAAGTTGATAGCGGCAAATTCAACCATAGATAAACAGTCCCTATGCTTTATATGGTTTTATCTAACTCTCGCCCTGAGCTTACACATCATAATAATAAGAATGTTTGATCTTCAAATCAAATCAAATCATTTTATTGGGCCAAATTAACAGTTATACAGTTTGCATTAGCCAGGTCAATACAAATATACTATACTATACATCAATTACTAATATTTTCTAATATTTACAATAATAATTCCAAATTAGAGCTTTCAAAACATTTCAGGAATTCTTGGACGCTATAACAGGTTATACTTAGCAATTTATGTGTTAATTATTTTTTTTTAATTTGAAAGGCTTGGTTCCAACTTAAGGGATAATGGAAGTGAGTTGAAAAGCTTTATATGCCAATGTACAATGTGTGTTTTTTGAAAAAAGAAGTTTTGTGTTTAGGAATTGGCAAGTTAAATGAATTGCGCAATGTGTATTGATTTTTAGTAGAGAAGTCAAATTCAGGAAAGTTTTGTTTCTAGAAAAAGGTCAAAGTTTATAGAATGTAGATAGAGGGAAAAGTCAAGATTTTGAATTGAAAAAGTACTGTCTGCAGGATTGACGCTTACGCAAGGAGAAAATAGTTCTCACAGCCATCTTTTGGATTTTGAAAATAAATTTGGTTTCTTTGCTCTCAAATCCCCAAATTGCAACAGCATATGCCAGATGAGGATAAATGAGACCATAATAAGCCGTCAGCAGCACATTAAGATTTTCATTGTTTCTGAGATTGCGTAAAACAAAAATTCCAGAACTGAGTTTACTTGAAATGTGTTTGGCACGCTGGTTTGGCATGGCTGCAAAAACTAAGTCTCTCGTCCAAGATCAACCCTAAAAAATTTACATTTGCAGTTGGGTGGACCTCAGTCTCGTCCAGGAGGAGACTAAACCCAACATCTCGTCTCTTATTTCAATGGAAATTTATAAGCTGAGTTTTTTCAGTAATAATTTTTAGTAAGTTGTCGTCAAACCATTGAATTAAATTATTTGCTTCAGAAAAAGATAATTGTTCCAGATTGTACAAAGTGGAGCTAGATATGGAAAGGGAGGTATCGTCAGCAAATAGTGATAATTTTCATCTTAAGGTTAGTCTTTTAAATCTTATTTCAGTAATGTAGCCTACTGTTGTAAATTACAGGTACATTGTATACATTCACGTTCCATGGATTAGGCCTATCACCAAAAAATAAATAATGGAGGAGTTAGTTAATTTTCACATACATCAGGTAAACTAAGATATGAACTACCTACATTGGGCTTTAAATAAATGATTCTGACTAATGAAACCGCTGATTTAAGTCAGTAACAAAGCTACACAGGTCATCATCACACACCATTCTACACTCATCTCACTCATATTTGGGTTGGGTTAAAATACGCACCTACCGTGGAGATGGCGTCCCCAACTCAATGATTGATAGTTGATATTTGTATACAGGGTGATTGATATAAGTGTGCCAGCTGTTTTATTCGAAAACTATAAGAGACTAGCTGTAACCCGCGGGCTTTGCCCCGTTTAACTTCTTAATTTTCAAAATTATCTCGTTCACATGGCTCAATCACGTCCTGGTTGAAGTTTGTTCGCTACCCTCACTCACCTTTAGGTTGGAGCTCGTTCGCTACGCTCACTCACCTTTAGGTTGGAGCTCGTTCGCTGCGCTCACTTGCCTTCAGGTTAGCTCGTTCGCTACGCTAACTCGCCTCCAGGTTGAAGTTCGTTCGCTACGCTCACTCACCTTTTGTTGCAAATTAGCTGTTGTCATAAATGTAAAAGAAATAATAGTGCTGCACCCTGTTGGTAATCCTTGTAACTTTAATGCTATTGAACATCATAGAACAGAACCAACTTGTTTAATTGAAACAGCTGTTAAGATTCAATAATTCCATTTCTCATAAGGTTAACATGGGAAACTCCAGAGCCACTGGGGCGGAGCTCGAAAGGATTTTTGAAATAAGAATATGCCTATATGTTAATCGGGAATGTGAGCTATCATCATGCCAAATTTCAGCCCAATCCGACCAGTATTTTTCGCGTTCACTTGTCACAAACATACATCCATACATCCATACATCCAAACTTTCTCATTTATAATATTAGTAGGATATCAAAAAAAGTAAAAATGTGAGTGCCTTTGTAGTCAAGTCGAAAAAATATTTTAGCCGCCATTTTTCCAATATGGCCGCAAACTTTGATTTTTCTTATGGAACACCCTGTATTTTATTATGTATTCCGGTAGAAAATGTAAATTTAAGACAATTTTATACTTGTAACTTTTTTCATAAACCTAACCGTTTTAAAGATAATAATGGTTAAAGTTTTGAAATTTCGGCTTGAGAAAGAGTTTCGATAAAGGCCTATGGAAGCATGTCCAGCTGTATTATTCGAAAACTATCCGAAAGTTCACAACTTTAACCATTATTATCTTTGAAACGGTTAGGTTTATGAAAAAAATTACAAAAATAAAATTGTCTTCAAATTACATTTTCTACCGGAACACATCATAATATACAGGGTGTTCCGTAAGAAAAATCAAAGTTGGTGGCCATATTGGAAATGACGTTTAAATTTTTTTCGACTTTACTGCAATTTTTAAAATAAAAAATCCAAGGCACTTACCTTTTAACTTTTTTTGATATCTCTTATAGTTTTCGAATAAAACAGCTGGCACACTTATATCAATCACCCTGTATACATTCTCCTATAATGTTAAAAACACAATTATCATGGATCTTCTCGACAAAATAGTTTTTTAGTCTTTAGTGTGTTTTAAAATGACATAATGTTTCTGAAGTCAATCTCCTACTATTTATAAAAAATCATGTTCAAATTTATCTACAGGAGAATTAGCTCTACCATCAATTGATTTAGTACAAGATATTACTTTTACTACACAGTAACAGCGTAACAAAAGTAACGCTGAGACCTGGGGGTAGATTTCCGGCCACGAACTTTTAGGACGGATAAATTATTATTTATTTCAATCAACTCACATTTCACTGTTTACTTAACAGTTGTAATTAATCTAAATCCCATTAAACCTGACACCGGAACTTTACCCCCGTAAATCTACCCCCCCCCCCCCTTGGTCGGCTACGCTACGTATATCGGCCAAGATTCATTGTTGTAGTTGCTTTATTAATTGGCAACCTAACCTAACCTTTATTGGTAGGTCCGTGAAGTTGGAGTACCCATATTAGCGTATCCACTTTTGATCACACCAATCGTTAGTTCATCGTTAGTTCGCGATAGTTCCCAATTTTTGTCGTTAGTTCTCAAAAAATAAAAACGTTATAGCCGATAATAAGTGGGTACGCAAACTTCACACTTCCGGGATCTAGCGCGCGCCATTTTCTGATGAGAAATGTTTACATCGATATATACCAATCGTTAGTTTTTCCTTAGTCCTCGATAGTTCTCCAATATTTTCGTTAGTTCTAAAAAAAAATATAAAAGTTACGAGGCATACAAAGTGGGTACGCTAACTTCACAATTATAGAATTTCCAGTGGGCACAGTTTTCTGACTTTAAACGCTTATATCTATATACCAATCGTTAGTTCTTTGTTAGTTCTCCAATATTTACGTTAGTTCTCAAAAAATAATAAAGTTACGAGGCATAAAAAGTGGGTACGCTAACTTCACAATTATAGAATTTCCAGCCGGCACCGTTTACCAATCGTTAGTTCTTCGTTATTTCTCGATAGTTCTCCAATATTTACGTTAGCTCTCATAAAATAAAAAGGTTATAAGGAATACAAAGTGGGTTTTCTAACTTCACGACTATAGAATTTCCAGTGGACACCGTTTTCTGACTATAAATGCCTATATCTATATACCACTCGTTAGTTCTGCAAAATAGTACAGTGATAAGAGAGTGCTGGCCAGCCTTTACAGTTTTAACAAATTTTATAACTTTTTATTCAATTTAATAATTTGATCAACATGACTAGTTTTTACTATTGTGATTTTGACAGTGTTTTAAAGAATCTTTTGACATACCACAATGTATTAATACATTGAAGATGTGGTTGCATACAATGACCTGACGATGTTCTAAGGAACGAAACTAGTTGTCATACTAGCAACCAGGGCCGGGGATAGTAGTAAGTATCCCCGGCCCTGCTAGCAACTGTGGTTGGATAAGGTAATTCTTCCATTTTATCAATTATATATTCCAACCAAGGGTCACAATGAATAACATATCTTCAGCAAATATTGCTTCAGTGACACATAAGTATCGCAACACAAAACCACAGCTTATCAACTCCATAGAGGGAATTAGATTCAATAAAACATGTCTCAGTCACAATATAACTCCCAAATACATTCATGCCAAAGTCAGCAGTAAAAGCCATGATGCTCTCAAAGCAAAAAAGACAGCAGAAAGAACTTGGCTGCAAAATAGTACAGTGATAAGAGAGTGCTGGCCAGCCTTTACAGTTTTAACAAGTTTTATCACTTTTTATTCAATTTAATAATTTGATCAACATGACTAGTTTTTACTATTGTGATTCTGACAGTGTTTTAAAGAATCTTTTGACATACCACAATGTATTAATACATTGAAGATGTGGTTGCATACAATGACCTGACGATGTTCTAAGGAACGAAACTAGTTGTCATACTAGCAACTGTGGTTGGATAAGGTAATTCTTCCATTTTATCAATCACTAAAAGACACGTCAATTAATTTATACTGTGAATATTCTTGAGTCAACACTAATATAGTCAAGTCGGACACGGGACAATATTGAACCCGTATAGGCCCCTATACCCGTGTCAAAGTCAAAACGATACAAGCACCTTGTGTTGGTTATGGTTTATCATACCACTGAGACAGTCCGATCGCTAGGTATAGGCCTACCATATACCTCGGACTGTCTCAGTGGCATTATAGACTAAAGCCCCCCATACACTATCGAACATGCCACCCGACCTGACAACCTGACCTGACGACGGACCCATCATCCAACCTGACTTATGTCGGGTGTTTCCCACACACTATCGTGCATGTTACCCAAGAAGTCAGGTGAAATATTAGTTTTGAGATGGATTTTGAGACGACTGTTAGCTGTTTCAGGGGGATTGTCAGCGATGATTTTAGGAATTTTTAGAGCCTATGGAACTAGGCTCTTAAATTTTCAATTTTATTTTTAACGAACTTTAAATCACATTCTGGATACAGTTCCTTGCACTTTTCCATCAGGATATCGTGCCCCTATGTGCATGTTTGTTGCAATAGAGTTTACTTTTGACAGCCCACAACGCCTTCTGGTCTCTGTAGAGTTAAAAAATTCTGACCAGAACTGTTTATTATTATTAAATGACATTATGGAAAATGGGACGGTTATCACGCACAACTCGCTAAGTACAAGTTAACTGGAAACTGTGGCCAACATGTCAGGCGGACGGCTCGAGTCGGGTGGTGCTACCGGACCGAGCATCCGACCTGACATATCCGTCGAGCATGTCGGGTCGGAACCCACACACTGTCCAATATGTTCGACAAGACGTCGGATCCCGACATGTCCGTCCAACATGTTGGATAGTGTATGGGGGGCTTTACGACCTGCTTAATGTTTCAGTTATTCTTGAGGTAGATTTGCGCCCGCTTAATCAAGATGTACTTGGATTTAGAATGCATACAGCGTAAAGGCAACCCCTTATTTAGACCATTAGTCCAGTCTAACTAACTCTTTCCGTTTGAATTTAACTTTCTCAAGTGCCCAAGTATCACCGAAGACCCAACTTACCTCCCACAAGTTTCATTTTCATACATCATTCCAAATTCTGTGAATACTCCTGCTTTTGCAGCAGCCAGCAGGTGAATCCTGTGGCTGATGGATTAATTGACTGACCGACTGTCGACGGATTCGGTGATCGGTTTGGCGGTGTGGGCGGCCTTCTGGTGACCGGAAACGCAACACCCCACACCGGAAGTAGGACAATACTGTTGGACAGTCAGTGATGGCTGTGGATCGGCAGTGGTGGTTGTGGGTGTATGTGCTCGTGTGTGAGAGTGCTGGGGTCGCGGCCGTCACTGTGCGAGGACAAGACCCCATGGTCAACCTCCGCCAGGGGACGTTGCTAGGGGTGAGTAGAGATGGTCTGTGACATATCAACAAATCATTAACATCGACAGCTTGTAGAACGTGAATGATATACAAACATAGTTTTCTTAGTTTAGACATACGCCCTTGTAGAGTTATCAATATCATCCAATAATCGGGTCCACTGAAAACGGTTTGAATTTACGCCCGGTTCGTGCAAATGGTGGTTTTTGTTATAACTATTTTATGTTTTTTTTTTGGGGGAGGGGCTTATCTACGTAAAAAGCATTTTTAATGATTTTAAAGTGAACTGTCCAAACCCTGGCCTTGCTGTTAACACCTATCGTCAACCATTAATGTATAGCCTGATGACAATTTGCACGTGGGTCTACAGTCGATCTCGCTTGGAATCGAACCAGTGACACTTTATTTGAGAGCGAGCACTATATGCTCTCGGTCGTGCAGACAATTCATCGTGTCTTGTTAGTTTAAAACTACAGTAGTTAAATCAAATTAAACGGTCGGATTCTAATTATACAGTATTGTACTAAATAGCTGGCCCGACAGACGTCGTCCTGTCCTATTGTGGTTTTATGCCACATACTCGTTCATTTTCAAGATGAGCTCGTTCGCATGGCTCAATCACGTCCTGGTTGAAGTTCGTTCGCTACGCTCACTCACCTTTACGATTGGAGCTCGTTCGCTGCGCTCACTTGCCTTCAGGTTAGCTCGTTCGCTACGCTAACTCGCCTCCAGGTTGAGCGTAACTAATTTTGGTTGCAAATTAGCTGTTCCCATAAATTAAAAAAAAATATAGTGCTGCACCCTGTTGGTAAACCTATTAACTTTTTAATGCTGTTGAACATCACAGAATCAAATTGTTTAGCTGCACCAGCTGTTAAGATTCTTTAATTCCATTTAAATATGAGTACTGATAAGGTTAACATGGGAAACTCCAGAGCCACTGGGGCGGAGCCCTATTGACGGATCTGCACCAAACTTCACACAAACCATCCTTGAATAATGCTTAATAATGCCTAAAAGTTTCATTACAATCTGTCGAGCGGTTTTGGAGTCCATAAAGGACAAACATACAAATATACAAACATACATTGGATTTTATATATATAATAGATAGATAACACCTTGTCCTTTTACTTCCTTATCCCATACATATATTTGGATAAAGTCCAAAATTCCGTCAAAATTTTCGCTTTGAGTTTACTTCCACCTCTCTGTGTTTAGTTTACATATTACACTGCCTTACGTCTAACCATTATGACCCCAAAGCAATTTTCAAATCGGGAGGTCACCATCTGCTACTGCTGTACAGTATATGTTCAATCGATTAAATGTCGAATGATTTAGGTAGGCTACGGTATTTTATAGTTATACTAGCCGCTATACCCGTGCTTCGCAACGAATAGGACGCTGGAGCGAAAATTTGATCTTTAATCTGTTTATGCAATTAATTAACTGGTATTTGTTTATTTACTCGAAAAGATGTTTGTGGTGCTAAGTGGGTTATTTAGTAAGCGAGGTTATTTTATGGTTGGTTAAAGAAAGGTAAAATAATTGAAGAATTATGGTAAAACATATAATAAATTAAGCACCAATATCAAGTAATTGATGTTATTGCTACACTAAGGTATGTATTCATATTCTTTTGGATCTATTGACATCAAAGTGTGGGTTTGTAAGTAAGTAGGTTTACGCTTTTAGATCAGTTTATCCTTTCAAACTAAATCATAGAGTTGCTGTATTTTCAAACACACGTCAGTACCACTTATACACTGTAATGGCTGCCTAGGAAGTTTAAACCTCTTAACTAACTGTAAAGGAAAGAATTTCAGTTCACTTGGTAGTAAAATGGAGTATTTATTCTAAAATAAATACTAAAATATATGTGTAACTATTTTATACAGCAGATCTAAAGAACAACATTATTCTTATACACGTTTTTTTCCGCTGCGAAGCATGGGTATAGCAGCTCGTATACATATATATTTGTAATGAAAAGGTGAATTAAAAAAACATAAACTTTTATAACTGCCGACTAATATTGTTAAGTTCAGTCGACCTTAGTCACTAACAAGACTAAAAGATCGCGCCACTCATCCTACACTCATCTCCATTCATACTTGGCTTAAAATACCTACTTGTCGCCATTTAATAAGAAAGTATTAAAAGTATTTATTATTCTGGAAGTTGTAGAATTATAATGTCATAACATTCATAGACGTCAAACTGTTTACTCCATTGATGTAAATGTTTAGAGAAAAAATGTTCTCTTTGTCTAAAGTAGACAAAAAAAAAATTGTTGGTCGCTAAACGTAAGCAAATAAAAAGAAGAATAAGGTAGCTTCTAATGTTATTCTTATGGGACATATTTAAAAATTTTATTTAGGGTTTTATAATTATTACTGGCCAGAATCATCTAAAATTTTAATGATGTCTTCTCAGTGATGCCATAATTATTTGTGCAAAATTTGAACGCTATAATTGCAACGGTTCTAAAAACGACTGTTTTTACTGCAGTATGACCAAAACAATATCATATGAACCCTTGATGGCTCCGCTCAATTTTGTGGATGCCTCTGCGAACGCCACCTAGTTATTTCTGTTTTGCCACACCACTGATTAAATTAAACCAAGGAAAATATCATAAAACTAAGCAGTACACTATGTTCTTTTGTTTCTAAAATCAATGAAATATCTGTTACTATGTTTACTTAATGGTACGTGTGAAAATGTAAAGGCAATGGACGATGGAACTGATTAAAAGAACTTAAGTTTGTATATTAAGTTGTTTGTTGATATTTTTGTAGAGTAGAATCAGAGATGCAATGAAACATAATACTGTATTTGCTATTACATTTTTAGTCCTTGATGCTTTGATAATCATATTAGTTTTGTCTGCTGTCTTTAATGCTAAATTATTTGTTTAAAATTTGTTATAGTACCTATAGATATAGTTTCTTTAATATTTCAAAAAACTTTATTAATAAGGCACAGCAATATTTCTAAAGTTTATAACAGCTGACTTAGTTTTGCTAATGATTTATTGTGAGTGAAGAAACTGAAGATGGAAGCATTTGTGATTTAATATAAAGAAGAGTGAAATTTAAAAAAAATGTCCATTTAAATTTAATAATTAGTATTTTTGCAACTTCAAAATTGAAATTTAAAATGACAATAATAAATTAAAAGATAATTATGTAAGATGAAGGTAAATCACGTTTGTCAATGTTTTATTCGAAGATTTGGTAAGTTTTTCTCATATCAGCCTATACAAGATTTAAAATTAATCAAAACCAAAATGGTGGTATCCACTACTTACCAGATTTAAAAGTCATATAACTTAAACGTTTCTATTAAAGTTGAATTTTGTTTCTAAAAGAGTTGGCGGATGTGTAACTATTATATGCAACAGATGTAAAGATTAAAATGTTTCTATTTTGTGTCCTCTTCCCGTTGCAAAGCACGGGTACAACGGCTAGTTACTGTATATGTGTTGGGCATTTTGCACACATATCCCATTTCTGTATTTAATTTTAAGTACTTTTTTTACAATTTTTTATTACCCTCTCATACAAATAAGTTCAAAGCATTCCCGTTGATTTTACTACAAAAGCTCGAGTTAAAAAAAAAACTAGGGGTGTAACATTACGTTTAAATGTTAACAAGTTTGTTTGTTAAATTGTGCCACAAATCCATCCTAACCATACAGTATTTCGTAATCGTAGCAGCCTGGTCTTCTCCAATGGCCACGGTTAACTGGCCACTTCGTAATCATCTCCCTTACCTCGTTCTCGGCAACATCACGATCATCTCCACGCCAGATAGAAGGAATGGGCCCTTTCCTATTGCAGCAATATTGCAAATTATAGATCATGTGAAAACTTTGAAGTAATTTTCCTTGATCGCAATATTAGGGTGTTATTGATACCAAAAACAGTTCCAATAAAGTATTCAAATCCAAATCCACATAGGCTACAAAAATTGGGGGGAACATTTTGAAACAATTAGGGTTTAAAATTTCAAGCTAAAAGTTACATCAAGATCAATTAAGTTAAACTGTGAATATTCTGAAAACATTTTAATGCACAGCCCTATTAATGCTACCATTATGGTACCATGGTAATTATGGTGATTACTAGACCGTTCTCGAAATGAAACATTACAAGTCCCGATAAAAAAAAGATTTCTAACGTTTGGTCTCTTCCCGCGATCCACCAAAATTGAGCAAAGTTTGGGAACCGCTGTTACAGAGAAACCCTTTATTGTGTTAAGTATATAGACTATTAAATGATTAATCAATCGTAGTAATCGTGATCGTATCGCATATTTAATTTAATCGTAAACCATAGTTTGTACACGATTATTAAAATCTTTGACTAAAATGTCAGCTTTATTCGTAAGTTATTGATATACAAATGTGTTCTACGACATACTTTTTTGTCAATAATTACTTGACAACTAATTTAAATACTTCGCCGATGTAACATTTCTATTCCTCCGAGGATTACAAATCGAAGGGAAAGTGCATTTCAAAGGAACAAGTTTTAAATATTTACTGCATACACACATCAGGGCATTGTAATGCTGCGGGCGTGGTGCAGTTGGTGCATCTTTTCTTTACGTAGTTTCAAAGTGAATATTCGTAAATAACTTGAATGTTTAAAATACTCAGTAGAGAGTAAACTATAACCATACCTTTTAAAACGAGGCTATTGTAAAATACAATATTTAGGATTGAATTGTTTCACTTTTTATCCAAGCTCGTTTGATGGATGTGAGCAAGTTTTTAGGAATATGTAATTCAGCACCATTGTCACTGAGGTTTTGAACACTTTGATTTCCAATTAATTTGGAATATGATTTTGCACACTTTTAAAATAAATTAAAGTCTAGAGGGGGAAGCCCGTTATACAGTGTTCTCTTTTTAATTACCATTCGTCCCTGAGCTGGATTATATCCTTTAGACTCCTCGGCCGTAAAGATTGGTTGTGTAGAACGGAAAGGGATGTTAAAGAGACACAC